TTGGTTCCACCAATGGCTTTGGTCAGCAGATCAGCTATTTGGTTCTGAGAAGTGGTAAACAACATTTTCACTTCATTAGCTTGGACTTTGTCTCTAACCAAATGACAATCAATCTCTATATGCTTTGTCCTTTCATGAAAAACGGGATTGCTAGAAATATGTATTGCTGACTGATTATCACAAAATAACAAGGCTGTCTTCGTCTGCCTTACGCCTAAATCAATCAACAGGTTCTTCAACCAACTAAACTCGCATACAGCTGCTGCCATTGATCTGTACTCAGCTTCAGCAGACGATCTTGATACCGTATGTTGCTTTTTAGATTTCCATGATATTAATGAATTTCCCAAGAAGATGCAATAGCCTATAATAGATCTCCTAATGTCGGGGCATGCAGCCCAGTCTGCATCACAGTAACCTTTGAGCTGAAGATCAGGTTTACTCCCAAAGAACAAACCTTGTCCAGGTGATCCTTTTAAGTACCACAATACGTGGTGTGTAGCCTCCATGTGAGGCTGTCTTGGTGACTGTAAAAACTGGCTTAATAATTGCACAGCATAGGAGAGATCAGGCCGTGTTATGGTCAGATAAAGCAATCTTCCTACTAATCTTCTATACTCAGTTGCATCTGAAATATTACTTCCTTCATCCTTACTCAGCTTCAGATTATGTGGAAGGGGATTAGCAGTTGGTTTGGCTCCCAAATAACCAAAATCATTGAGAACATCTAGAGCATATTTTCTCTGGCAAACTGAAATGCCTTCTGATGTTCTAGCAATTTCAAGACCCAGAAAATACTTAAGAATCCCCAAGTCTCTCAGCTTAAATTTCTGATTCAGCTCCTTCTTGAATTGATCAATGTACAACAAATCATTTCCACCAATTATGATATCATCTACATAGACTAATATCACTGTAAAAGAGCAGCCATTTTGTTTGCTAAACATGGAATAATCCGCCTTTGATTGCTGAAATCCTTGTGACATAATATAGGATGACAGTTTAGTGTTCCACTGTCTAGAAGCTTGTTTAAGCCCATATATTGATTTGTTTAATTTGCAAACAAGGCGTTCACCATACTCCCCCTGCTGCTCGTACCCCGGAGGCATCATCATATAGACCTCTTCATGCAAGTCATCGTGTAAGAAAGCATTACTGATGTCCAACTGATGCAACTCCCACTGTAATTGAGCAACAACTGCCAATAAGGTTTTGACCGTCACCAGCTTAGCCACAGGAGAGAACGTCTCCTCATAGTCAAGGCCAGATTGTTGGGTAAAACCCTTGGCAACAAGACGGGCTTTCTTTCGTTCCTCAGTACCATTAGAATGTAGCTTAACCTTATACACCCACTTACAAGCTACAGGCTTCTTACCGGCTGGGAGCTTACTAACAACCCATGTCTCATTGGAAACAAGAGCTTTATATTCCAAATCCATAGCAAGACACCATTCAGGGTACCTGGAGGCCTCCTCAAAAGTGTGAGGTTCAAATATAGTAGATAAAGCCAATGCATAATTCCTGTGAGCAGAGGAAAGCCTAGAATAAGCAAGATGATCTGATATTGGATATTGCTTACCTGATGCAGAACCTTTGCCCATGGAGACTGATGAAGAGATAGGGGTCTGAGAAGATAGATTACAGTGATAATCCAANGCTTAGCCACAGGAGAGAACGTCTCCTCATAGTCAAGGCCAGATTGTTGGGTAAAACCCTTGGCAACAAGGCGGGCTTTCTTTCGTTCCTCAGTGCCATCAGAATGTAGCTTAACCTTATACACCCACTTACAGGCTACAGGCTTCTTACCGGCTGGGAGCTTAACAACAACCTATGTCTCATTGGAAACAAGAGCTTTATATTCGAAATCCATAGCAAGACACCATTCAGGGTACCTGGAGGCCTCCTCAAAAGTGTGAGGTTCAAATATAGTAGATTAAGCCAATGCATAATTCCTGTGAGCAGAGGAAAGCCTAGAATAAGCAAGATGATCTGATATTGGATATTGCTTACCTGATGCAGAACCTTTGCCCATGGAGACTGATGAAGAGATAGGAGTCTGAGAAGATAGATTACAGTGATAATCCAAGAGGTATGAAGGAGGTCTAATGGTTCGTTTTGATTTTCGAACAGGGATCAAGGGTGAAGGAAAAGACTCCTGAGGTAAGGATGGAGATGGATTCTGAGGTGAAGGGAAAATCGGAGATGGAGATGAAGACGTAAACTAAGATGGAGTGATATTATCAGAGGGT